GTAATCATGTACATACATGTACCAGAGCGTAAATTTAAAAGAGTCAAGCACTGATAACGTGACTAAACTCAGGTATACTCATCAATAAAGAAAAATTTCCTTTAATTACACACTGTACATGTACATGCACACAAGTTCATAGCCCTTTTCCAAACGAAGAAAGACTTATCCTTTTTCATTAAGTGTGTACATGTACATGTATGTGGACTATTTAAACTTTACTGAAGAAATGTATTGATAAAAACCCATCCACTAATTGCAAATGGCATTTCACGTTAAAGCTAATTGTGTTTCATTACTGCATCACATCCACTGCAACATGCTGTCTTGTTTTGAAGGGAGGGTGAGTGAATGATTGATTGTCTTGTTCGTCTTTGTTCAAACACGTGAAAATGGTGGCCCATCCACTGACCGGGCAATGCAAACATACATGTAGGCCCCTCATCCTCACTAGGCTCATTGTCAAGTACAGTACAGTGTATGTCACATTCCTAGTCAACCAAGTGAAATGCATCACCCTGTGTGTCCAATCGCTTGGATGACCTGCCTAGGTGACTACGCTGGCTGCGACCAAGCTGGAAATTAGTTTGGGAGCCTCAGGATGACATCAGTTTGACCAGATAGACTCATGTTTGCAGACCAACAGTCTCAATGACTGTGCTGTGCCATGGGGGCTACACTGGGTTAATCGTTTTTCATGTAATCTTAGACAGTAAGCATTACCGGTAGGTCTGGACGGCACAAAATGAAATGCCATTCACAAGTTCTACATTAAAAAGTCCCATAGGGATGAATGGTAATATTAATAACAGGAAAAGGAAACAGGCTCCATTTGTTCAATACTCCCCTACATAAGTGCATTAACAAATGGGCAAGCTCAGTTCTGTAATGTATACCAAGGCATACCCAAGACTGGTGTAGAGGTCACTTCTACTTTGCTTTTGAATACATTACAAACACTTCCCATTATGTGAGGAAATCAAACTCATGACCCTCAAGAGGTTTGATGGCAGAAAACAGAAAGTGATAGATCATCAGATACCAGTAGGATCTGAACAACTTGGGTTTATAATACATACATGTATACACGTGCTTATAAATGCAATGCATGTGGGCAGGTTTCCCAGTGAATCATAATATGATCACACAAAACAAAACAAACAACATTAAAAAAGATGCAATTATACCTCCACATGCAGGGTAAATCATAGGATCTTGTTTGGTTTTACATAGTGAGGGTTAAAGTGAATATGAACACATAAATGTATCGTATACATGTATTCATGTGTACATACATGTACCGTTATGTGTCACTCTGCACACTAGACTGGCTTTGAATTATAAGTGAAAGTACCGATATACTACGGTACACATAATCAGATTACATTTCACACATGCAAGTGCGAGTCCTACACCCTAGATTTCTAAAGTCAAGATGCCTAAACTATTAACCACTGCATACATGTAGAGGTCATTTCTGTAGTTTTTTCCCCAACTGTGAGCAAATCCTATCCAGCTAAGGCAGGGCAAATAATACCCGGGCTCCCCGAGTAACAAATTCACATCAGGCCCACACAAAAAAGATCGCCATGAATACTGCAGGGGAGAAAAAAAAAATCTCCTCTCTGAATCCTGAGCAGGGAAATCAAGCCGAGCATATCAGGCCGAGCATATCAGGCCGAGCATATCAGGCCGTGCCATATTCTCTCTCTCCACCAGCCAGCCATTCACTCGTTAGCCCCTATCCAATGCCAATCCATCAGCTCCTTGCTGCATTGAATAGTCAGATCACGCTGACATACTCCCAATATCTGTCAGGTATCTTCCCACGGGCTAAGAACTGTGCACAAAAGGCGCCAAATCCCTTTCATTGATTTCCATCTTCTTTTTCGTCTGAATTTTGGAGGCACTGAAATGATATTCCGTGAGAGGCAAGCACGGAAAAGCATATCTTTCACCATTGCCAACAAAATTCAATTTTACGATGAACATACATGTATGCTGTACATGTGTACATGTAGGTTTTCATTCAAAAGGAGTATTATGCCTTTGCACAACCAGCAAACCTTGAGAAAAAACACAAATGAATACTGTACCTACAGTGTAATTGCCCAACTCCAACAAAAACTTTTTTGAGTTTAAAAGAAAATCGAAATATTTTTGGAAGGAGTTGCAAAGGAAATTCTCCACAGCAAAACTGGTCCAGTCGAGCTTTTTTTAACGAGGTATTCAAATCAAAAACGTTGTAAGTTTACATGCACATGTACATGGTAAGCATGATAGTCACTGGCATCACAACCGCGCAACTGCAAGTTTTGCTAAACAAATTCTTTGTACAGAATTTGACTAACTTGTTTGGTTTCATCATCAAGAGAGGAAAATGTAAAAGTCTTTTAGGCACAAGTTTATTGAATGAAATTACTTCAATCAAATTTAACACGATACTTCAGTTACAGTTTCATACACATGCTAGTCCATGTACACACACCCTTACATATGTATACTTGTGGGGTATTTCCTTTGTTCTCATGTACAAAACTCCACACAACACGGGAATAATTCAAATCACTGCTATTTCAACCAAATTCAATTTCCTGGGTTGAAATTTCGACCGTATGTCCCTTATATAAATCACTTCAATTTGCGACGGATGAATGGCCCTTGGAAATTCCTCCTTTTTGAGTAAATTTGAAATATCTATTTCGTGAAATACTTGTGGGGTACCACTTTAGTACCCCACAAGGATCAAAACTGGCCTTGTGGGATACCTTGCATTGTTCCGGTACCCCACAAGGCACCGTGTACAAGCGCACTGTCCCTGGTACCAGTATATGAACATGCATGAATATTGTGCAAACAAGAGTTTGTTTAAATTACAAAAAAAGCTTAAATGCCATGCAGTTTAAACTTTCTCACAATGCTGCTTATCACTTGTGAGCTTTTGAAACAATAACCGGATTTAGTGTTTTACTTAGAATTTCAATTTTGTGTACATGTATTGTATTCCCTTTGGCTGGAGTTAGCTTGTTCAATTGATTTCACAATTTCATGTACTACTTTAATGTACATGTATGTGTACTCTTTTTTTCAATATTTCTATTTTTACATACATGTTTGTAAAGTTCAAACACAAAGAAGTGCATGTCTGAAAAACAGGTAACTAAATTACATAAATTGTACGTACACAGCTGAATATATTTCAAACTAAAAACCACAGCAATCCCTTTGACTTGTCATTTTCAGGTCAACTTAAAGATCCACATATTGCACATACATTGTGTATCTGTGTTTATTTGTTCAACTTATACAAGATATCTGACATTTGACTGGTAACTTTTTACCCAGCCTTGAGAAGTCAACATGTGCATGTACGCTTACTGTACATGTATACCACACACATGTATACATGTACATATACACACACACATACATCATACATTTTAAAGTTCAGGAGTTGTGAGAGATGGATGTTGTTTTTCTACATGTGATCATCAGTGCAGTATCATTTCAAGACATTTCATAGTTGGAACAACGTATCTATATAGCTTTGACATGCACACACGTGTAGTTCTTGTATGTGAGGAATGATTGCACCAGTTTTAACTGATCTGTATACATGCGCATGTACTGCTAACTCTGTACGAATCTTACATACAGGCACATACCAATACACTGGTATCTGGTGTGGATCCATGAACACAAGGTCCACATAATGCAGGTTGTTTGAACCTTGAATGGACTAAGCTAGGTTACCCATTTCTGGAAAACTGGTTTAGGGGCATTTTGGGGTAAGGGTTATCATGTCGCCAAATGAACAGAACAGTAAAAAAAAAATAAACCATGTAGCTCAAAACAATATTCACCGTTCAAGAAAAATGAGCACTTTCACAATTTTTTTAACCACAAGACAAAAACAGAGGAATGTCTACACAAGGTACATGTAGGTTATGGAATATGGATTAACCAACTCAAATAAAGGCATTTTTGTATTTTCCATCTAAGTCATGAAGAGGTTTTCTGTTTGGAAATGCTGTGTTTGAACCTTCAAATGATAATGACCTTATCATAAAATAGAGCCATGTGCCCAACATTTCTGGTCGGTTATCAGGTATCCAGGTTCCATACCTGCCACAGCCCTACATGTATATATCGAATGGGAATAGTGCCTGAAGGATATATGGCAAAAACTGTCAGCACATTCAGTGCATTCCTGACTGACTCATGTAGCACATTCAGGCCACATGGCTACACTGACAGAGCCTACACACAGTCCACACTAGTCCTTCCCTTATAGGTACATGTATGTGTAATTTGGCAAGTACATGTACATGTACTTCTATTTTTCACTAGTTCAAGCGACTTTCAGTGACTGGTAACCCACAACTTCTAGCCACTTGCAATGCTTGGTAACCCACAACTTCTAACCACTTGCAATGCTTGGTAGCCCACAACTTCTAGCCACTTGCAATGCTTGGTAATCCACAACTTCTAGCCACTTGCAATGCTTGGTAATCCACAACTTCCAGCCACTTCCAGAGGCTGGTAACCCACAACTTCCAGCCACTTCCAATGCTTGGTAGCCCACTACTTCCAGCTACTTCCAATGCTTGGTAATCCACAACTTCCAGCCACTTCCAATGCTTGGTAGCCCACTACTTCCAGCTACTTCCAATGCTTGGTAACCCACAACTTCCAGCCACTTCCAATGCTTGGTAGCCCACTACTTCCAGCTACTTCCAATACTTGGTAATCCACAACTTCCAGCCACTTCCAATGCTTGGTAGCCCACTACTTCCAGCTACTTCCAGAGGCTGGTAACCCACAATTCCCAGCCACTTCTCCCGTAATTGATAATGTACAACTTCCAGCCATGCGCAGTTATTGATAACCTACAACCCAGCCACTCCTAGTGAATGACAACCGACAACTTCATGCCAATCCTGGTGCTCGATAACCTACAACTTCTAGCCATTTCCAGTGGCTAGCAATCCCTGACTTACCATTGAAAGGCTTGGGGTACCAGGGGAAATGTTCTCCTTTCAGGTCATCCAGCATCTGTAGACGCCCATTATTTGTTATCAGCTGGGCACTGACACTGTTAATGAGGACTAATGTTGGGATGCCCGTCACTTTGAACCTCTTGCACAGTTTGTTCTGAGGACAACAAAAAAGAGATGCAATTACTTCATTTAATGTTACTGTGCAATGCACACTTCAGGGAGTTTGAGATTAAGGGATGCATCAATGATATTTACGTCAGACATGCAATACAGTACATAGTCACAATAACAAGAACATTTAAATCTCCAGAGGACTGTCTTGTCAGGTTTCAGTCCAACCTTCAGCCACTGAAGTAAAAACAAAAGAAATAAACTAAAACCAAAGACAAAATGTCATAGGGCTGAGATGAGAGCAGGGAAAACTGAGTAGAATAAGACCATTCAAATTTTAACAGCAATGGTAAATAAATAAATTGAGACCTCTTTAAACTGCACACTGAAAGAAGGATCTCACTTCATCCGGGGAGGGGAGGAGAGAGTGCCAGCGAAGTCACTTTGCCAACCACTGGTCAATTTTACATGGTACCCAAAATGTACTCTGTGTGCACTTTACAAGGGATAATTTACTTGTGCCAACAACGGTCATCATTCCAACTTGGCCAGGGTTTTAATATTTCATATTCTGAGATGTACTGTACCCTACCGGTACACTTCAAACATGTTCATCTGTCTAATTTCGTAGAGAACTTATAAACCATTTTAAAAAGCACAGAAGAATTTCCACTAAACATGAAAACTAAAAAAAACCCAGAAATATCGCAATATGTTAATCATGTTGCTCACAGGAAAACTGGATGTACGCTGATCTGCAAAGCCAACACTCAACTTAATATTCCAATACATGTAAATGTACGATACATGTAATTGCTTCATTTAGAATGAGCCAGTTCAATGCATGCCCAAAACAAAGCATGTCTGAAGTCATTTGAGGACAATGCATGTACATGCGTTCAAGGTCTGCCCTAACAGCATGGGAACATGCAGACTTACATGCATGCTTATCTCTTGAATGACATTACCTTCTGGAAAAAAATGGCTCATTCATGAAAACTGAAGGCCTACATGTATTTATAATCTTCACGCAAATGCAAAAGTAAAGCCAATCTGAAGTCATGAAACACGTGCACTGCAGTGGAATTTGCTTGAGGTGAAATGTGGTGAACTTTAGCAAGTTCGTGGCACAAACATTTGATCTGGTGTCACAAAAGTGTCTGTGTTCAATTTCATGCCAAGTACTAGCGCGAATCAGTCTTTTGTTCAACAATATGGCCATTGAGTTCAGCAATGACCACAATCCCAGATAAAAAGGCAATGTTTGGGTGGTGCAAGCCTGTGTACATAGCTTTAAAAGGAGTGAGACGGGGCATATTATGAGCCCAACCTTTGAGACCAAAAGACATTGACTATCAGTTACGTGTTTAAGATCAGAACATTAAAAGCATGAACAAATAGCTAGCGATTATTCATTAATTATGCAGGACCTAACAAACAGATTCATTTGCTGAGTGGTTTGCCATCCAGAACTCTTCATCTAAGCCACTGACTTCAACCCCATCAATTGGAAGGCAACACTTTTCAAGGCTGGCTCTATGTACTTTGAGAAAAAGCCTCCCAGTGCTCTAAGGAGAAATTAAAATCAGACGGTTTTAAGCCGATAACTTGTGACATCCAAATTAGGGGGCATTAGCGATGCGTGGGTCTTGGTTAGTTGTGGCCTTTTGATGGGGATTCCAACTCCTTGCTTATCGGTCGTTTGGATCACACTGACGAGGGACAATCTTCAATCTGCCTCCTGGCACCCCAATTTCGTGGATTATAAGAAAACTGGTTTTTCCCATGTGTGATTCAATTACTCGTCCACTTCACTTCTGCCAAGCAACTTGTAGGGAAATTGTTTGACTTATATTTCAATCAGACAAATGAACTCTGAAAGAGGAACTGAAAAAGTACAAGTTAAGAAAAAAATTGTGATAATTCTTCCTATGTTTAGGCAAACCAGGTGTCTTCAAATGACTTTGTAAGTTTTGACGACTGAAGAGATGAGAAAGTCAATGACATCAAACAGATTGATACAAAATTCAGGAACACCTAAAGTGAGTACATGTATGTATATCATGGGCTTTTTAATTAGTCATCACTGAACAAGTCTTAGTTCCAAGATCTTTCAGTCATTACTCTGCGACATGAACCATGACATGCACGCTGTTGCAGGGTGCTATCACCACACAAATCGTTATCACAGGAAGGTCTTGGACATTTTGTTTGCACTGCTTATGTTTTTCAGCGGTTTCCCCTCGACCATCAATAACCGTGCTGTTTCTTCAAAGTGAAAATACGTGTAAAAAATGAGTCTCTGGTACAGCACATTTGCATGTGTACATACAAACCTTTCAACCTTTTCCAACATAAAATTCTTGGTGTTTGTCGCACTGTGAAATTTAGCAGCTTACATGAAACATTAAAAGGCATGTAATCAAAGTCAGAAATAAAACAGAATTCCAAGCTGTAAAGACTTTGTACAATGTTTTTCAATCCATAACCTAGGCATACCATAAATAGGAAGGGGAAAAATGAAGAAAAATAATCTAATTTCAGGAAAAAATTTGTGCCTGTTGTGATTAGTATTGTGTGTAAATTCAGCATAGAAATAAACACTGCCAAACATAGCTTAAATACAAATTCCAAAAAATACCCAGTAGTTAAAAGGAAGGAAAGAAAAATGAGAAATAAAATAAGAACAACAACTTGCAGGAAGAGCCTTATCATGCTTATCTTGGCAAATGGTCCGTGCCTCTAGGGAGCCTATGGTAACTTGGATCACCTCGTTTTCCTAGGAGACTGATTTAGCAGACAGGAACAGGTGAGACTGATTAGGTACTGTTGCAAGTCTGGCAGACCAGAAATATTTGGACCGGGTTTCAAATTCAGGTCAAGTTAAGTATGCTGGCACCCCGCAATCACCTGACACTGGTTGAACCCCAGTGCACCAGTTGGATCATTGTGGTATTTCACTTGCAGGCAGCATGCCAGGCAAGGATGCATAATCAGGACTTGTATCTTACCACTACCACAGGCAGGGTTCAACATCAACACAAAACTACCAAAATTTGTTAAACCACAAACAGTTTTACAACAAACTGCTTAAAAAAGGTACTATCTAAGTTTTGTGGAGTGCAATAGGTGCAGTAATCATTTCCTTGCCTTCCATTTCTGCAACCAAATTTCGAGTCCTGCCCAGGCTGACAAGAGGTTAGGCTTTTCAATCCCTGTCTGATTCTATGATATCAGTTTACCAGAAAAAATACATACTGCACATGTATGTGCCAACTGGTATGTGTCTAGAATTTTCCCTGCACACCTTTGAAACTTAACATAAATGTGTTCATTGTCTTCTCCTAGAGGTCATTACATGGGCAGAAGGGTGTTCAGGCATTTTTTCCACACCACTTACAAGCACAATGCAAACAGTTGGCTTGATTATGCCCATTTGCTGGGCATCAGACAAAGTTTCAGCCAGCTATAGTGATTTTGAAGAATCTTTAATTTTAGCTGCAAATAAACATATTTTTAGACTTATCTGATCATGACAAATTAAATGTAGGCCCACACACACAAATATCTACACGGTTAAACCAATCTTTGACCAACTGATATAAGAAGCTTTCATCAAATAATATCTGCGGCAGTAGGTCCTATACTGTATAAGCTATGTTATGAGAAAACTAACATAAATACAGTAAAGGTGTCGGCTGATAAAAATATTATCAGGGCAAATTGTCATAGCGCAGCACTTAATACAGTAATTTAGTCAGACATTAAACGACTTGATCAAATTCTTTGCCCAAACCAAGACTGTTTATCTGATCAAGTTTTTGTCTGGATATCCAATTACAGGTCAATGTCTAGCACTACCCAAACCCAATCATTGCTAAATAGGCCTACATGTCCAAATCCCCTGAAGAAGATTGGGGTAAATGGTTAACTTGGTTAGGAGGCATTATTCTGGCCCAGTTGCTCTCCTGAGTACCAGGGTGCTTAAGTGCGGTGCGCAAGTAATGAGGATGAGACGTACAATGAATTTTTCACCCATGGGCAAGCATGGATGGTGTATATAAAGGTCCATATTGAGGACTCAGCTCAATTGATGTCCTGGCTTTTAAGATACTGGCATCAGGGCATACCCTGGTTGTCCTGACAAGAGTTCTTTTGGGGGGAGGGTCATAGTTTAACACACAAACTACTGCAACAATAACCAACGGCCTTGCTGGGCTCACTGTATATAACCTCTCCCTGCCAGGAGACATTTACAGCTAACAGCATACAAATCGGCCATATATCACATCAATTTGTGATTTGTAGGGTAGATGGGGAAGGAGTTTACAAAGGACATGCATTCCTCATGTCGGGTTAAGAGCATGCTTTGTGACTATTACTCCTCAAAGTCGCATTCCATTTTCCTAATATCAACAATAAACAGTCTGCCACTACAGAACTGATGTGCCTTTTCTTCTTTCTTGACTGGCAAATATTCTAATACTGAAGTCAAGGAAACAAAATAACGTGCAGTGACATAATTTTAAACACACTTGTCTAGCAAGTAAATTATGCTGCAAAATGCACTCAATCAAAATACATTTACCATAAATTGGTTTCAACAAAGCACATTCACAGACTGGAACATGTCAAAAATAGTGAATTAGATTACATTTCTTTTGAAAGTACATACATGTATAATGATTATTTAAGTGTACAAAAATTAGATGTGAAATTATCATTCAGGAATTTACATACATATTTGGAATGGTCTTGAGTATGTACATGATACCCAAACATGTGCAGTATTGTACTGTAGATATACATGTACATATACATGTACTGGTACTTCTGCATGTACATGGACCGGTTCACGCTGCTCAGGGGTACAGTCCACTAATTCAAGCCCTATTGAAAACAGTGTAAAATCAGCACTGTTCAGGGCCCAATAACATGTACGCCAACATCCCTAAGATTTCAGAAACACAAATGAAATTCTTGTCCGGTCACTTATCTTTCAATTTCTTTTCACTCTTGTGTGGGTTAACCAATTACATTTTA